AGACTTGAATTGATTATCGGTTTTGATCACAAAAGACCGACTCAACTAAGTCTTCAATTCTTGATCTTGTCCTTGAGTCTTTTTGGTCATGTTCCATGCCATTCTTCACGCCTTGAGTTATTCAACGAAACTCTTCATATCCACGGCGGTTTGGCAATTATCAAAACCTGTCAGAAATGAACACGACTTTAGTTTAACGTACAAAGTGTGTTTCAACAATTTCCCCCTTTTTGATAATGGCAAACAAGACGGGGATATGCATAGGGTTTTGATCTTTTTGAAAAAAATTCCCCCTTAATATATGCATAGCCCTTATCTTCCCCATTTTGACATTAACAAAAAGATTGTTAACAACAAAAATCATAAAGATTTTTATTAATTAATTAAGGGAAATAGCGGAGTACATAACGAAAGCATATGAAAAGATGATAAAATAAGGAAGAGAAGAAAGTAGAGCTAGAGCTCTAGAAATCCGGGGAAAGATCATTGAGAGGTTGTTCTTCGTCAATGTCTTCTTCTTCTTCGTCATCTTCATCATCATCGCCATCATCATCATCATCAGCATCATCATCATCATCATCTTCTTCTTCTTCTTCGTCTTCTTCTTCATCGTCCACCTCGTCATCTCTACCAACGTTTTGAGTCCCACTTTGTTCACCTTCAAAATTCGGTGGAGGAAAGTAAGGGACCATTTGAGCGTACGGGTAATTGACAAAGTCAAAATACCCGTGAAGTTCACGGCTCAAGGTATTGACATTGTGTGCCGTTTTGGAGATGTTGGTGTCAATCCGAGAGAGAGTGGCGGTTAAGGCTGCCATTTGCTCGGCAAGAGAAGGATTGGTCGAAGTGGTGGCGGCTGAGGTAGTGGCTCTCGGTTGGCGGCGTGGACGAGGCTGTCGAAACGGAGTCTCGTCGGTGCCCGAGTGGAAGGAGGATTCATCAATCTCCCAATGCTTTGTCCCCTTTTTCTTTGGCCCAACATCGGTTTTGATGTTATATTCTTCAAGAATCGCCATGACAAGGAGGGCGTAGGGGAGCGGCCGATTGTCAGAGGTGGCCGTGAACATGTGAGTCATCACAAATTTACACCAATTGAGATTGGCGTTGTGAATCATCGCATGACTTGTCTTTGTGTCCTCCTGGGAGAGAGTGGTGTGATTGAACTTCCTGGGCTTGAGAATCCGTGTCAAAACATAAAAAATGAATCGAAACACGGGGCTCATGGAAGCAATCGTAGGGCGCCGCTGTTGGGGAGTGGGTACGAAGTGTCGGATGCCCACTTCCTCCAAGAGAGCGGTCTCGTTGAACCGTGCTCCTTCTTCTCCAACGTAGAGCCCGAGATCCTGTCCATCCCGACGAAGCCCGGTGAGGATTTGAATGTTTTCCTCATTCAAATAGATGTCCACCCCGTTGACGTTAGAGATCAATGCTCCATCCTCATCCTTTTTCAAGTTCGAGTAGAAAGCTCGAACAAGAAAGGGTTGATAGTTGACCTTCTTGATGTAGAGGAGATCAAGGAAGTTTCCACGTTCAAGGATAATCCGTGCCTCACGTGGAATGGAGTCATGAATGAAGCGGGCGGTGGAGAATCGGGGAGGGAGAATCTCCCGGTGCTCAAATTTCTCCGAGAACCGCGTCGCCTCTACTTGGTCGTTGAACCAAAGGAACGACCCGTCGAGGTACTTGTGCGCCGGTGGTGGAGGAGCCGAGGAAGAAGCCACGTTCTTGCCGGTGCGGGATCTTTTTCTTTGACCTCCTGCCATATCAACAAAGAGTAGGGGGCAGAGCAAGGCAAAGAGAAAATTGCAGAAATTTGGAAAGAAAATGAAGAATAGGAGCAAGAATGATGAATTGTGATGAATATTTGGAGAAAGTATGATTTGAGTGAGTATAAAATGAATAGAGATCACCAATTTATAAGGGAGTGGGCTGGAGATCCGTTGGGGAGTTCAAAACATGCATTAATTGCTCTCCAAACGTCTCTGCAACGGTCAGATTTTTAAAAAATCGTCGTTGATAATTGATTTACACTCCCTGTAAATCGATTATCTGAGGCTTCAGATTCTCCGCCAAAGAAACTGCAGGCTTCAATAATCGATTTCTGCCTTGGTTGTAAATCGATTGTTGGAGAGGATTTGCCTCAAATTTCTGAAGGCTTTAATAGTCGATTTACATGTTTTTTTTTGTAAATCGATTGTTGATGTCTTCAGCTCATTTTCCTCAAACTCCTGCAGGCTTCAATAGTCGATAATCATGTTTTGGTAAATCGGTTGTTGTGCGCCTGACTTCAAATAAAGTTCTGCAGCTCCATATAATCGGTTATCATGACTTGGAAAATCGATTGTTGAGGTTTTGCGATGAATTTGCTCCAAACTTGTGCGGACAGTGATAATCGATTATCTCAAGGTTGTAAATCGATTTTCACTCAGTCCTGGGAACTTAAAATCGATTTCTTTTGTTCCCCCTGGCTTTAACACCTACAATGAAAACATTTTGGTACCCGTTTGATCTTTTGGGTCCTTGAGGATTAGTAACACGACTTTTTAAACTAATAAACACACGCACCCATAATCACATACACATGGTACGCAAACACACACACACACATGTACCAACATGCGTGTTTAAGTGTTACCTTGGCCAACTCGTCCTTTTGCGGTTGGCGGGTTCCAGTCTACTCGAACCGAATGTCTATACCTTGGTTTGATTTGTGTGGGTTCCGGAAGTGGTATGTGAATCTTCTTCTTTTCATCATAATAGAAGAAGTAATATGGTTTCTTTTGCGTTGATTCTTGCAGGCATTGGTTAGAGTTCGAATATCCTTTTTGAAAGGATTTCATTCGGTTAGTTCCATGCAGAGTGTGTGTTTTGTTATACGTGTAATGCCTATGCCTACTAAAACACACGGGTGCTATATGACCTAGCCTATTGCAATAATGACAAACAACATTTGGATTATGCATTCTCCTAGGTTGATAATAGTTGCTAGGTTTTCTAACTTGATCATTGTTCATCCTAGTGTTCTTTCTAGGTAGTCTAGTGTTCCTAATTGTTCTAGGTTGTCTATTTTCTTGATTTTCATTATTCCTAAGTTGAGCTTTAGGTTTCCTAGATGGTTGCTGAACTTTTTCCTTATTATTAGGTTCATTTTCAAATCCTAAGCCATGTTTAGTAAGTTGCAAATTATCAAGAACATCATTAAGGTTTTTATGAGAAACACCAAACTTCTTCAAAGTTCCTTCAAGTTTTGCAACTTGATCCTTAAGTGATATACAAGAACTGCATTTTGAACTTTCCGGTTTGTCGGCGCTTCTTTTTCCGAAAAACTTATTTTCTTCTTTAAGTTTTTCATTATCTTTTGATAGTTTATCGACTTCCTTCTCCATGGAAGTAAGTTGTTTCTTCAAATCCTTGTTAATTTTAGAAGCGTTGACATATTCATCAAAAAGTTCATTAAAGGCTTCTTGTACATCATCAAAAGTATAGGAATCTTTAGAAGTGGTACATACCTCTTCCGGTGGTTCCTCGTGTGCCATGAGACAAAGGTTGGCGCTCTCATTTTCTTCGCCTTCCGATGACTCGTCGCCGGAATCACCTCCCCATGAGATGTAGGCTC